TACTTGTCATAGCTTGCGATTCGCCGATTTTTTCGCCAAGGGCCCCCCCCTTTGTCACATAAAACTCTGCAATTCCGGGGAAAATGCCATCACCTGATGGCTATAAGAGTCGCCTCCCGGCTTTTCACAGCCATTTTGACATCATCTGAATGACCTGTACATTCCTCCCCTCAACCCTAAGCACCACCCTAAGCACCACCACTACCACCACCAAACAAGCGGCCGCCACCCTATATAAAGGCAGTCAGCCTCACACCATACCACACCACACCACCACCACCTCCAACATCACCACCCTGCTCTGTTCCACTGTCCCGTCCCACACAGACACAGACCCATCCAAACGCCTCTTGGGTAAATTCAATGCACACCAACGACCTCCCCTACGAGATTCTTACGCAGATCCTGGGAGAGGTTGCCAAAGCCAATATACGTGATGGGCCCACCTATACTTTTGGCCTGTCCCAAGCACCGCTGCCACTCCAAAAGGCCCCTCTTCAGCGTTATGTGAGGGGACCTGTACCGCCAGAGCTCCTCAAGTGGGACGCCACGGCTGCACTCCGCTCCGTCTGCTGGAAGTGGCACGAGTGGGCATTGGAGCATTCTCTTCGCGACCTGTACATTCGCCGATGGAAAGGTGGAGAGGTAAGACCACTCCAACTCTTTTCTCTTTCAAGGCACACGAGGAAGATGCTGATTGTACGCAGAGATGGGCCGAGCTTTCCAACCGCCGTGAGAGCTATCCGCTTTACGAACTAATCGATCGTCCCACAGGGACAGCCGTCTACCGCGATCCCTTTGCATCCCTTAAGCGGACCGTCAGCATTCACAAAGACTACCCACAGGTGGCTTCGAAGATTCGACGCATGTGGGTACACGGCTTCTACACGGCTGAAACGGATCGCCTCGTGTTTGAGTCTTTGAAGAATTGCACCAACCTGACTTCTTTGTCTCTTCCATGGACCACAATCAGGCATCTCGATGCCAAGTCATGGCGGACCATCTTGATGGGTAGCGGAAGGCCCCTGGAGTCTTTGGAGCTCCAATGCACCGATCCTACGTCGCAACAAGCCGCGGACAAAGACAACCAAGTCGATCTCCAACCTCTGCAGTCTGCAAACTTCAGCCAGTTGCGGCGGCTCAAGATCTTCGGCGATACCTCCTTTATGCCCATCACCGATAGGGATCTCTTTGCCATTGCGCGCACAGCGACCCAACTCGAGGAGTTCCACTTGACCTGCAACTCTTCCATCACGATAGATGGTGTCATGGCCATTGTCAAGGCGTCGCGCAAGACGCTCAGGGTACTCGAGCACAGCCCGCGGTCGCAGGATGGCTTCTGGCACCCTCACCCTGGTTCTCCAAGCGACAGCGAGCATTTGTGCGAGACATTCCGCAACTGTCCCAAGCTGGAGACATTGTCCATTTCGCTGCCGTCCATGTGCGCAGACCTTTTCTCAAACGAGAATGTCAAGTTTGCTGGAGATCTGCAGGTGCGCGCGCTCCATCTTTGCGAGCATGAGCATGGCCGTTCGACACAGGAAGCCACGGACGCGCTGCAAAAGCTTCTTGAGCAGGCTCGCCAGCTTATTCAGCGCCGCGCTTCTGGCACCCTGCCCCGTGAGCTGTACATTGAACTATTCTTCGCAGGCTGCATTTTTGAACCTGGTTTCGAGGCTGTCCACGGTGACTTCTCGCTGGCTCAGATTTCATCCGACGGTTACTGGCCACAGAATGCGGCCTTCAGTGGAAAGGGTCCTTACGGCAGCACCGGCTTGTACGAGAAAGAGCAGGAAGGCCCCTTCCAACGCATCGACGAGGAACAGTTCCTGGCCGGTGTGCGCAACAGGTTGCACTCGATCCAGACCTAAGTGCAAGACGCATTTCCATTCTCTGGGGTCGACTACTTCTCTTCACCTGTACACTTTTACGACTTCACAACTTTTAACGACTTACGACCGACCACATGCACGAGCAGTAGGCCTGGGGCCAACGATACCAGGTCCGTTGCAACCCACGTTTTCTCTTGCATGCATCTGGCGAAATTTTACACCAAAAAAAAAGCATTCAAATAGCGTGTCTTTCCAAATAGCGTGTCTTTCCACTTTCTGAGCACTTCGGGACGGCCGGATGCCTCCTCTCTGCTTCATCATTAGCATTTTAGCGGGTTCTAGCAGGCAGTGTATGCCAATATATCTTTTGTCTTGTCTCACCACACCATGGCTCCGAAACTCTATGTGATGATCATGAAGTGTATACTTGTTTGATGAACCCAAATAAACATGCAGAAAGATGTACGGTGAACAAATTTCTTCAACCTCGCCTTGGCAATCATGTTTCCCCGCTTCAACAGCATGCTGCCCAAAGCGGCCTAGCTCATGTTCCCACTCATCTGCTCACTCAGCGTTCCGTAAGCCCAAGCCTTCTGCCTCAACACACAGACAGCCAGGCAATCGACTCAAAATCAGCCCCTCATGAGATGGCAAAACGCCTTGTGCAAGTCCCGTTGGCCATCTTTCCCTAAACAGCAGAAACCCACAAGTCCCCTTACAGCATGCTGATAAAAGCATCACCAAGCAAGCTGTCCCCCGATAGTACAGGTCAAGAACTAAGAAAAAGCGCGGAACCGGAAACAGAAGATTGCCATGGCGGCACGAGACTTCCGCGTCCTTAGTCAATGTTCATGTAATCATCTGAAGCCAGCAAACGCCAGGTTCCGCACCAAGTCAGCCAATGCGACACCCGCAAACAAGCAAGATAGGCCCGATGGCGCTGCCGTGTGGCGTACCAGCGTGGGTACGATTGGGCGATCGGGGTTCAGTTTGCGGATGCATAAGAGTAGAGTACCATACTGTACGTAGTTGGCCTATCTTTTGCAAGCAGGGCCAGAGACACATGGGTACGGGGAGATATGGCATGGGATGGCATGATGTTGTTAGGTTGCTGGCGTGGGTATATATATATATATGGGATGGGATGGGGTGGGCGTTGTACCCCTCGATTCCTTCTGCTCCTCTCTGTTGTTGTTACCCCTCTTTGGCTCCTCCTCGACCTCCAGGACTCCTCCTCCCTCCTCAGCCTTTTGAGATTTACATTTGTTCAAGATGGCTCCTAAGATTGCGATTGTTTACTACTCCATGTATGGGCACATCAAGCAGATGGCCGATGCCGAGCTCAAGGGTATTCAATCTGCTGGCGGCGATGCCCAACTCTTCCTAGTATGTTGTTTCTATTCTTCCTAAATGCCTAATAGGAA